CTGGGTGCCGCCCGCGGGAGCGGCTGGGCACTCCGAGCCAGGTGCCGTGGGGGGACAGGAAGTCCTGGATCTGGTTAACGATCTGCCCGGTTCCGGGAGTGGGGGCGTGGCACGAGGCGCTGGTGGAGCGAGGGGCCTCGGCTGCCTCTGGAGGGCCAGACGCGGTCTCAGGCCACCCCAGGAATGTGTGGCCTGCGGGCGGGGCTGGCACAGGAGGGCGGGGCCCACACTCAGGGGCCGCAGCCCGAGCGCTCGGGCGGGTGCAGGCCTGGAGGAGGCTGAGAGGAGGACCAGGCTGTCACCGGCTGCCAAGGCCTGACCCGGGGGCCTGCACCCTCCCGCTCAGGACGGGGATGCTCTCGAGGCTGGCAGCCATGGAGCTGAAGGTGTGGGTGGATGGCATCCAGCGCGTGGTCTGCGGGGTCTCGGAGCAGACCACCTGCCAGGAGGTGGTCATCGCGCTGGCCCAAGCAATAGGTGAGTTCTCGGGTCAAGCCGTCCCATGGGCGGGGCTGGGGAGCTGGTCATCCAGCCCTGTCTTCCCCCGAGGAGGGTGGGGCTGGTCACCTGATCCCTCTTGTCCTCCCCAACTCCTCAAGCCAGGTGGACAGAGTAGGGGGACATCGGCTGGCCCTCTCTCCTTTTCCCAGGCCAGACAGGCCGCTTCGTGCTCGTGCAGCGTCTCAGGGAGAAGGAACGGCAGCTGTTGCCACAGGAGTGCCCAGTGGGCGCCCAGGCCACCTGCGGACAGTTTGCCAGCGACGTCCAGTTTGTTCTGAGACGGACAGGGCCCAGCCTCACTGGGAGGCCTTCCTCAGACAGCTGCCCGCCCCCCGAGCGCTGTCCTGTTCGCGCCAGCCTTCCCTCAAAGCCACGGGCAGCGCCGGGCCGAGAGCCCCGTAAAGCGCTGGTCGTCAGCCCAGGCTGTCTCAGGCCGGCCCCCAACCCCTTGCCTCCGGAGCCGGGGGCCCCCACCCCAGGCGGCTGCGCAGACCTGCGGGGCCTGGAGCTTTGGGTGCAGAGGAATGCCGAGGAGCTGGGCCATGAGGCCTTCTGGGAGCAGGAGCTGCGGCGAGAGCAGGCTCGGGAGAGAGAGGGGCAGGCGCGCCTGCAGGCACTGAGCGAAGCCACCGCCGAGCACGCCGCACGGCTGCAGGCCCTCGACGCCCAGGCGCGCACCCTGGAGGCTGAGCTGCAACTGGCCGCGGAGGCTCCTGGGCCCCCTTCACCCACA